AAAAAAAGGGAGCAAAGGCATTTGGGAGACGGAGGTTCCCGGACTCCGGAGGAGCACCCAATTTTCGCTCTCCCTGAGATAAGGGAGAGCTTTTGGGGCTCTACTCCTATCCGGGAGTACTCACCTCGACCCCTTCGCCCGGGGCACAAGGTTCCAAGCCGCTGAACAGCTGATGTCCGCTGTTCAGGCTGGCTCTGACACCTTCCCAAGCGGATGGCTCCAAAAGAGCCGCCATCGGCGTGCCGTCCCACCGGAAGTCCCTCCCCTTCTGATATTCTAATGGTGGTGGATTAATCCTATTATGTCCTAAAGGTCATGTCCTATCCTTGGAGCTGGGTGGGGAATGTAGAGTCTTTGTAAGGACCTACCTCAGCTAAGCCACCCAAGAAAGCAGAACTCTTGAAACAAGCATTGCCTCAAAAGAAAATGTATTAGGGGCTAGTGACAACAACGAATCAAGGTGAGATCTGAGAGAAAAACCCGCAAAGCGATATATTAAAAGTAGCATTCAATACTCCTCCCCCCAGTGTCCCAGTGTTCATTTGAATCCCAGCCAATCCACAGATGGCATCATGTTTTGGTAACCATCCTTTTCGGTGGGCTCTTCAAGATCTCTCTCACTTTTGATTTCTTCTGGCTCCAAGCACAAACCATCTGTCAGATAAGGGTGAAGCATTCCATCCCCTGGCGGAAGGGCAACAAGGCAACAAAGCAGACAGTGCAAAGTATCCCCAAAGGCTCCCCCCTCACAACAGAATGGCAGGCAACAAAGAAAGCTACAAAGCTAAAATAACTGAGGAAACATTGCTTTGGGGCCTGACATATGGACCCCCTAGAAAAATGGAAAATCCACCTGTAAAACAAAAAGGGAAAAGGAGGAAAACAAATAAAACAGTCACATCAGTCAGGCTTGTCAAGATACTTCACATGAATTCGTTTAAGTATAGGATCTTTAACATACTTTTTATACACCCATTCGTTTTGCACAGAAGGAAAGTTTGTCCAAGCAACTAAGTATTGGGTGGAACCATGGTGCTTTCAAGAGCTGAGAATTTCACGTATTTTAAAATGTTGTTCTCCTTCCACCCACATGGCACAGGCACAGGAGGGGCCAAAGGCCTAAGGGTATACATAATCTCAGGTTTTAGTAAACTACAATGAAAGACAGGATGGATTTGTCTGAGGCTCTTAGGGAGCTCTAGATCCACTGTCACCGGGTTAATAATGCGCTTAATAGGAAAAGGTCCTACAAATTTAGGGCTGCAAGGTTTGTAAGCATTTTGTAGACAGATGAACTTTATCTCCAATCCTAAAAGGTTTTTGCTCTACCCTCTTTTTATCAGCTTGGGCTTTATAGGTGTTTCAGGTCTCATCTAGTGCTTTATATACTACTGGCCAGGTGTTTTGTAATTGTTTGATCCATTCTTGCAAAGAGGGGATTTCAGGTTCTTTGGAGGGTAACTCCAGAATGGGGACAAATGTCTGCCCATTGGCAACCTGGAAAGGGGTATTACCAGTGCTTGAATGCACAGCATTATTATATGCCACTTCTGGCTATCTTGCTGATAGTTGATAAAACATCTAAGGTATTGTTCATTTGAAGATGATAACTAGATGAAAGTCCTTGACTAGAACCCAAAAAACCTAGAAAAGCTCTCCAGAACATAGAAGTGAATTGGACCCCCCTATCTGATATGATGCATTGTGGGGCCCCATTGAAGCAATAGATATGTTGCACAAACAGTGTAGCTAGCATTTTGGCTGCTGGGATTTTTGGGCAAGAGATGAAATGGGCTTGTCTAGAGAACAGGTCTGTAACCACCCAAATAACTGTATTTCCAGAGCTTTCAGGGAGCTCTACAATAAAATCCATAGAGATCTCTCTCCAGGGTGCTGAAGGGCTCGCCACTGGCTGTAAAAGTCCCAGCATCTTCCCTTGCCGTCGCTTAGCTGCAGCATATGTGGGGCAGCTCACCACATAGTTCTCTATGTCCTTTTTCAAAGAAGGTCACCATAATTGCCTTTTTAGTAGATGTAGAGTTTTAACAAATCCAAAATGTCCTGCAGTCTTAGAATTGTGCCCAGCTTGCATTATTATCAGTCTTAAGCTTGCTAGCATGTATAGTTTCTCTCCAACCCAGGCCAGGTCATCTTTGATTAAGCATAAGTTCTTATGATTCTGAAACCACTCATCTGTCTCTAGTGCTTTTTTGAAATTCTGGCACACTATTCAATGTATTGGCCTCGTGATTCTGCTCTGTGCTTGAGTAGTGACAGGTGCTGCAAATTTCTTAGGAGGCATAAACATCTCAATTACTTCTGATTTAACACTGTTATATTGCGACATTCTAGATAAAGCATCTGCTAAGAAATTCCTTCCCCCAAGGAGGTAATGGATTGTAAAGTTAAATCGGTGGAAATGTTGAGACCACCGTGCTTGTTTAGGGGGCAATTTCCTAGGAGTTTTCATTGTTTCCAGGTTCTTATGATCAGTCCACATTTGGAATGGTATTTTGCTCCCCACTAGGAAATGTCTCCAGGTTAGAGGGCTCATCACACAGCATAGGCTTTCTTCTCCCAGGCTGCCCACCACTGCTCAATTTCAGAGAGGTTTTTTTAGAATTATAAGCACAGGGTTGCAGCTGGTCTTCCTCATTCCTTTGGAGTAGGACTGCTCCTATGGCCACATCACTAGCATGGGCCTGAATGACAAAAGCTTTCTCCGGGTCTGGGTGCTTTAAAACTGGCTCCATAGAGAAAAGTCTCTTTAACTGCTTGAATGCAGTTTGACACTCCCCCGTTCACTTCAGGGTTTCAGTTTGTCTGCTCCCTTAGTCTGTAATAGATTCGTGATAGCAAATGTGATTTGTGCAAATGAGGGAATGAACTACCAGTAAAAATTTGTGAAACCTAAAAACTTTGCAGCTGCTTTCTAGTATGAGGAAGAGCCCACTCTAGCACAGCTCATACTTTCTCCAGGTCCATTTCGACACCCTTACTGGAAATGCGATAACCCAAATAGTCAATACGATCCTTGTGGAATTCACACTTAGAGAGTTTGGCATATAGCTTAGCAGAGCACAGTTTATTCAATACCGCTCTAGATTAAGATGTCATCAAGGTAAACTAAACCCCTTTGTAGAGGTGCTCACACAGAACTTCATTAATTAATTGCATGAACACAGCAGGGGCGCTTTGCAATCCAAAAGGTAGCACTTTAAATTGGAAACAACCCATGGGGCAATTAAACACAGTCTTCCATTCATCCCCCCTCCCTAATTCTTATGTGGTAATACGCCTCCTGCAAATCCAGTTTGGATAATTTTTTTCCTTTTGACAGATGTGCTAACATGTCCTTCATGAGGGGGAGGAGGTACAGGTTCTCCATGCATACAGTGTTCAGGCCTCTATAATCTACACAGAGACAAAGCAACCCATCCTTTTTTTCTCTGAATTGCATGGTGGCTGCCACCCGGGGTTTTGCAGGCTGGATGAAACCCAGCACTAAGTTCTTTTCAATAAACTTATGAAGTTCATTAAGTTCTCTTGGGGTCATGGAGTACCTCTTTGGTTTGGAAAGCTTTGGGAAACCCCTGGGATAATTTCAATGGCACAGTCTCTGGGTTGATGGGGTGGAAGCTCATCTGACTTCTGTTCACTGAACACTTTGGCCAGGTCTCAGTATTCCAGTGAAAGGTTCTGCAATTCCTGTTCGCTGAGGGTGGAGGCTATGGGGTTCCATTTCTTTAGCCATGCCAAGCCTAATACTAATGGTCACTCTATGCTAGGATCCACAACAAATGCTAAAGTTTCTGAGTGGTCTCCCATGGTGATGTGCAAGGGTCTGGTAGCAAAACTGGCAGGGAGTCCCCCTGTGACAGACCCATCAAGCTGGCAGAAAGTGATTGGGGTCTTTAATCTCCTGATGGATATTCCCATCTTCCCCACTAATTCTGGGCTGACCATGCAGCGGGTACAGCCTGAGTCCAGTAAAGCTGCTAATTTTACTTTCTTCCCAGTACCTGGTATGTACAGTTCTAGGGGCATGGTAATGGCATCAATTGGCCACTTACCAAGTGGTCATTCTCATAGTCACTCTCGGCCGCCTCAGAGTCATTGTTTGCAGGAGCCGGAACTCGATCCTCAGTCCTCCAGGCTTGGGGAGTTCCACGGTCTCCTCGAATGCAGACAGTGCCAAGTATCCCCAAAGGCTCCCCCCTCCCAACAGAATGGCAGGCAACAAAGAAAGCTACAAAGCTAAAATAACTGTGGATATATTACTTTGCTTATGAATACTGTGCCTTAGTCTTTCTGAATGGATTATGAAATCTGCATTTCTAAAAAGTGGCCTTTTCAGGTTTCTGCCTAACATATTTTCTCCATTTCTCCTTCAGGTGAAATATTCTATCCTGGCTTGTTTTAATATCCCCCAAAATATTTCATTTTCTGGGGGAGGGGATACTGACTCCCTACAATAATATCCCATTTCTGTCAGAACCTTGAATACTATAATATATTAAATAATAATATATGCTCTAGAAATAAATGAAATGAAATGAAGTTAACAGCATATGAGGCAATCAAATAATCACTAGACATTTTCAATAGTTAAATAATATTTGAGGCTGATAGCATAAGGCAATCAAATAATCACTTGGTATATTCGGTAGTTAGCATTAGCAGTTTTGCAGACATCTAAAGCAGTTAGCAGTTAATACTCCATATATTAAATTCCAGTTATAGGGAATTTAATACATGGAGGCAATGGAAGACAAAGGGTAAATTCAAAGAAAAGTGGGGAAAATGGGACTTTGGGAAGTGATTCATTTTAATGGATTATACACCTAGTTCAGTTACTTTGGTGTGCTGAAAAAGGTTTGCTTATTTTGAATAAAAGAAAAGGAATAAAGTAAAAGAAAAATAAGAAAGAAAAAAAGAGCAGCTTATCAGTACACCTTATTTTTACCATACCCTTGATGTTTAAGAATTATTTTTATAATATCTTTGGGAAAACTAGTTAAAAGAAATAAAAATGGAATTCTCATTTCAAATTGGAAAATCATCAGTAAGGTATCAGGCAAAAGAAAACTCCCTCCCTCTCTCTCTCTCCCTCCCTCCCTCCCTCCCTCTCTCTCTCTCTCTCTCTCTCTCTCTCTCTCTCTCTCTCTCTCTCTGTATTTGGGAAGTTTATTTGGTATATTATGTTACTTGAGAAAGGGGTTTAACCCTGTCTGCACCATCTAGAACAGGGGTGTCAAACTGCCGGCCCATGGGCCAGATGCGTCAGGAAGAAACCGTGCCCACCTCATTGCCGGCAATAGGGAAAAAGCTCTGATACATCGCACGATGTCATGTGACATTGCAAGTTTGATATTTCTGATCTAGAATCACTGCTATAATATGGGTAGAGGTATGTATGTATGTGATGCAATGAAAAAACTGCAGCAAAGAAAGTCAGAGTGACCCAAAATTTCTCTTAAAAGGATTAGGAGCTGTTTTTGCATGGGTTGAAATACAATGTATATTTGTACTGTCTCAGTTCCTAATTTTTTAAATGTCAGTAGTCTGGAATAAAACAAATGTTTAAAAGGAAGGAAGATTTTTTAAGTCTAGATAGATGCCATTTCCTTACTAGTGATATAGATTGATTTTGTTGTGTCATGTCTGTCTTCATTAGTGATGTACCAACCACATGCTAGTTGGTTGTTGCTCTACATCATTGAAAAATAACACAGAGAATACCACAAAGATAATAAGAAAAGCTATATAAGGCTTCCAGTTTTGCGCAATAGTGCAACAGCCGAGGGGTTGTGGGGCTCTGCAACCTATGGCTGATTTCTGCCTGTTAGGGGACCCTAAATGGACCTGAAGTCACCCCGTAGAGGTAATTAGGAAGGAGGAAAGTCCCACCGAGGACAGAGAGACAGGGACAATCTGATTGGTCTGGGAAAAGCCTTCCAGAAACCAGCAGGAGAAAGGCTAGCTTAACTTCAGAGTCTAGCCCAAGCTACAAGCAGTCAAAGCCCAAAAGCACGATTTTAAGTTGACTGTAAACAACGTGCTTGGAACTGAGTAAGAACAGTGATTTTCTCTTTTCTACTTGATAATTAATTTCCTAGGAAAAAAACCCAAGAAGCAAAAAGCCTCCGAAAGTGAAAAGGAGGGAGAATCTTTGCCCATCCTCCTACAGATGGAAGCGGCAAATTAAAACCCTTAAGTGGGGACAGAAATATACTGAAATGAAATGAATATAAGACCTAAATCTGGATAACTTTGAAATTGGTGGAATGTGTTAAGATTTCTTTTTAAAATCATGAAAATAGAAGAAAATAATTGTTTATTTTGAAAACTGAAAAACAAACTAGCGCTGACATCTAGCAGTGGATGAAAATATAGTAGTTGCTTCAAAACAGAAACTGGCAAAGCCCAGGAAAAGATAATTTGTTTTTGGATGACCTTCAATGTCTTAATAACAGAGAACAGCTGACTTCTGGTGGCGAGGCTTCGCCGAAGGAGGCTTTTTTCTTAGCCTCCCGCCCGGGACTGCATCAAAGCTATCAAAACAGCGCGGATCAGCTGTTTTGCGGCTCGGAACTTTCTCCCCAGGCGAAGGGGAGAAAGTGAGTTCGGTCTGGATAGGGGTTGAGTTCCCTAGTCCCCGCAGGAATGATCCTGGGGGGGATGAAGGTGATGAACTCCCCCAGAGTCTGGACCTCTCTCCGCAGCTCGCAGTGCCTTCACTCTTCGGAGCGAAGCTAGACGTCGCCGCCACTGCTGCTACTTTGTATCTGCTTGTGAGTAACTTTTAAACAGACGGAACCAGACAGGGGATTTTTATTTTAGTTAAATTGTGATTTTAACTCAAAGATTTTACTGGGATTTTTGCTATTTGCTATAAGTGAAAGTGAGAAGAAAATGGCCGCAGAAGCGCTGCTTCTTTGTAACAAAAGGAAAACTTTCACTTTTCTTCCAGTTGTGGAATGATACATTTTAAAGGATTTTAAAGACTTTTTCTTAAGTCAAGCTTTTTTGAGTTTATATTTGTTGTTGTGAGTTTTACAACTATACTTAGGAAAATTGGCAGAATGGCCTCAAAACGTATTGGAGTTTCTGCATTGCCTAAAACAGCTATCTCCTCTCCAGTTATGCAAACTTCACAACAAAAACCTAAATCTCCCCCGCCATCACCTCCTCTTTCCATTACACTTAAAGATCTACAAGAGGCTTTAGCTAAGTCCTCATTGCAGACTGTGAAACAAACAGAAGAACTTCTTGATAAGAAAAATCAGGAACTTTGTGAAAATATATCACATATCTTTCAAGGACTAGCAGTTCATGTTGATCATATAGAGGGACGGGTGGATGAGTTAGTGGAGAAAATGGAAGGAACAGAGGACAGACTTGAGAAAGTAGAAGAAGGTGTGGAAACTCTTCAAAATTATATGGTAATGTCACAATATAGAGAAATGGAATTTGTTCTGAGGATTAGGGGTCTTAAGGAGGATTTACAAGAGAAACTTAAGGAAGAAATTGTTACAGCTTTGGCCCTGGTTTTGGATTGCAACCCAGAGGTGATCTGTGGAGAAATAGAAAATTTTTTTAGAGTAAACTCCTGGGTTGCACATCAGAGAAACATACCTAGAGATGTGGTTGTTTACTTTACCACAAGAGTACGTCGTAATGAATAATATGTCGAAAAAATAGTCGTCTCTAAAGTTTAACGACGTGTTCTATAATATGAAAATTTTCTTTATGGAAGATTCTAAAATTCTTCTTCTTTCCTAAAATGAAAAAACCGAGTCCTCAATTTCTTCGCCGTCTACCCTTTTAGATGGGAGATTCCTTTTGGAATTGTGGTAAATTATGCGGGGACCAGATACAGATTAAATACCATTCAAAAAGCTAAAGATTTTTATTTATCGGTCCTGATAGCTGATTTATCATCATCATCGACATCTAAAGCAAAGGAAGATTTGATGGAGCAATGTCCATGGGGCCATGTCATCATCTGCAGGAGATCCTCAGAATCAACAAAAGTTGGGAGTGAACTCAAAGGAGCAAAGAATGACATGTGCTGCCTATAGGCATAAAGAGAGAGAGCAAGAACAAAAAGAAATTGTATCCATAACATATTAACCAACGTTGGAGCCAGTGGGAGGGGCGAGGCCAAAGAGATCTGTAACGACAGATTTGCAGGGAATGTTTAATAAGTTCCACAAGCCAAAGGATGGTTAAGTTGACGCTGAATGTGAATTTTAGACTGGAATGCTGTTGCTGACCCAATGAAAGATAAGAAGATCTCTTTGAAAGTATTGACTTAACAGTGAAGAAAGGGAAGGGAAAAACTTAAGTGTAAAATTTAAGAGAAAATTTATATAAGATGTTTTATAGATAATATTTAGATTTTCAAAATTGTCTCGTATGTATTTATTAAAAATAATTTTATAGGTTTTTGTATATATTTGGAGACTGGAATGCTGCTGTTGATTTAATGAAAGATAAGAAGATTTCCTCGAAAGTATTGACTTAAGAGTGAAGAAAGTGAAGGAAAAACTTAAGTGCAAAATTTAAGAGAAAATTTATATAAGATGTTTTATAGATAATATTTAGATCTTTAAAAATTGTCTTGTGTTTTTACTTATTGTTTTAGAGTAGAGTTAAAGTATGTAAATATTGATTGTATTATGTTTGTTTAGTTAAATTGTAATTTAGATATGGAATGGGATGTGTTTTAATCCTGTATTTGGTTCTGGGAAGTCCAGGGGGGAGAGGGGAAAGGGATTTCTTATGTATAGTTATATTTTGGTATACTAGAATGTTAGTGAGACATAATGCATTTATTGAAGAAAGGAGGCTCGGTTGACCTCCTAGACCACATTTGAAAGAGGAGGAGAGAAGGAGGGGGGATGTGTAGGGTAGAGTTGTTGAGAGGGTGGAGAGGAAGAAGGAAGGAGGAGGAGGGAAGTAGGGAAGTAGGTTAAGAGAGGGTGAATGTGGTCTTGGGAGGCTGCTGAACATCTTGGAA